AAAGAAAAATAGACCCCGCTCTTCCCGATTACCTAGAACCCGCACTTCAACCCGCACTTTGAGGCTTACGTGGGATTTTCCCTTGAGGGTACGGGAAGTGGCCGAGTACGGATCCTGGCTTATCACAAGCGAGGCTAGCATGACAGAAAACACAAACGACAGGATAGAATGCACAAATGGCATGATGGTAGGGCACACCATGCAATAAGGTACAAGACAAGACAAGACAGATGAGCACGAAGTATAGCGAACTGCAGCCTTACAGGTCAATCCAAGCACACCGGACTGGGACCAGGATGTGGGCTCTGGCCGTGATCACCAACAATCTCACACTTGTCATCTAAATCATGTACTCTTCCTGGGATGCTGGACCCGTTTTCCAGCAGGTGATGCTCCCCACAAATAGACGGAGCCTTCCCCACAAAAAAGAAAAAAGGATTTCTTCTTTTTGAGATTTCTAACAAAAAAAAGAAAAAAAAAGAGAGGGGCAAGGGGAAAGACACGGTCTGGAGGCTATCAGCATAAAAAGGTGAACTCCATCAGATGTATCTAATGGGACGCAGTTTCCAGCAGGTGTAGCTCCCCACCAATAGAGGGAGCCACCCCGACCACCAAGGCCTCAATTCAGGTGGTTCTCTCACCACCACTGGGACCTTGTCCCACTAGCAGCGTTGAGGCAGGTCCTCGTTGAGTTTTCAACGACGCGTGACCTGCCGTGACGCTGGCCGCGACGCTCGAGATTTGAGGAGTTCTTCGAGGAGTTCTCGATATGGTGCGGTCGATGTTCACCTTCAATTTGTTCTGTCGGAATCCAATTTTTATTTGATTCGATTTGCACTGAAAAGCATTGAAAACTCGTTTACAACGCGACCTACCCTTCCGCTTTTTCGTTGAGCTAGCTGTCTCGTTTTTTCGTCTCAGCTAGCTCAACGAGACAATTTTCTTTTTCTTTTGGTAATGTCGTTTTTTTTTTTCGGTGTTGCCATCATAGCCTATGTCAGACCTTTTCGTGAATCCGTTTTCCACTGGACGACCGAGTCCCCTGTTGCTGGCATTACACACTGTCGAAGGAGAGAAACCATGGTGTGGTCGTCTGCATGGAGCCCAAAAATTGTCCTTGTTAAACCACCAGTACTTGGCCCAGCTATCAAGTCCGAGCCTCGGCCGACCGGTATGCCGGGCCTTGCCGAGGCTCGAACTACCGGTTGCTAGCTTCCCAAACGTGCCTTGAGAAG